CCAAAGACTGGATTTGGTGTTCCTCCCAGCGAAAAGAGAAGTGAGACTGCAGGGGAGTGATGGCCGCCAAAGGTACCATGTTGACAATGGCAGACTACGCCGAGTCCTCCTCCGTGCCTCCAAATTTCGGCTTCGAGACTTCAGGGGAACTCGGGGCTGGTTCCAGACCGCAGAAATACAATCCCTCACAGATCCCCCGGTGAACTTCTGGAGTTCTCTCTCCCTGAGCCACTTCCTTCGGGCGATACCTAACGCGTCCCTCCTGGACAGACCTTTGACGGACTTCGAACAGATGTGCCTAGCCCAGCTCCCGCCCCGACATGCTGTTTCTCAACTGTACAAGCTACTGCAGGCCTCCACTGGGGAGGTACCGCTGCATTTCCTACGCGGCTGGGAATCGGAGCTCCACTGTACTTTTTCAGAGCAACAGAGGGACACCATCCTAGCGTTGACCTTTAAGGCCTCGCTAGCGAATCGTTACCAAGAGTCAGGATACAAGATTCTGACTCGGTGGTACAGAGTGCCATGGTTGCTCCATAGAATGAATAGCTCGATTCCGGAGCTGTGTTGGAGATGTGAGGGGGCTCAGGGTACGATGTTACACATTTTCTGGTCCTGCCCTGAGGGTCTTCTGGAAACAGGTGTTGGAGCGGATTGAGACCTTGACCGGCGCAGACCTCCGAGATGACCCCGCAGCATGCCTACTTCATTTGACTAAACACTCGATCTCTTGGTACAAACGATCTCTGACACACCACCTGTTGAATGCAGCTCGGGCGTGCATCCCCATGAAATGGAGAGACCCTCACCCACCTACTGTTCAGATGTGGCTCGCTAAAGTACAGGATACTTATCTGCTAGAGGACCTAACGGCCACTCTGAAAAATACGGAGGCCGTTTCAATGCCACCTGGGGGCCATGGTTATGCTACAGAATTTCTGCCCAAAGCCTTGATCAACCTGCAGAGGTTGGCCTGATCGGGTCCTCGTCACCCGGACTGACGTGAAGATATCGGGGGTGGCTCGGAGGGGCATAACCCCGATACGACCTTGGACGCCGCCTGGCATCGCGGGTTCCGGCCGGGACCTTGACTCCTTTCTACCTTTTCCACTTTCTTTCCTTTTTCACTTTCACCTCGACCCTGAGACACTATCCGATGTTGGATATAGTACTTAGTCACAGAGCTTCAACGTGCAGAATGTCATCATTGAGTCTAAAGTATTGTTGAATCAACTACTGTACTGAGCTGTTTTCACGTATTCCCGATGCGATTTTTTAGACAGGATATGCTTGCGTTGACAAGGTGTAGACCGTTTCTCAATGATCCTTAAAGATTATATAGAACTGATTTTACCTTCAACCACATTGTATTGTTATGTCTGCTGTTTTCTTCAGCCAATAAAGAATTTGAAAAAAAAAAGTGATTTATGAAAAAAAGTGATAAAATCCTGTTTGTTCGACTGCCCCACCTGCATTGACCCTTTTTTTCTAATTTTAAATTTGCAATTAATTTTATCAGATTAAGTTAATATGATTACTATTAAGTCATTATTAACTTAATACTATACTATGACTATAACTATCTAGGGGCCTTTGAAGTGTGGTTTCTCTAATCTATGAGCATACCAACACTGATATAGAAGTATTGCCCTTTCTACATTTGCCACCTGTTGCCATTTAAATAAGTGTTGGGCAATTTGACAATGTCTGTGCTCAAGAAAGTTGCTCTTAGCAGCGTATAAATAAATTATTTTAAACCTGATTTTCATACTTCAGTATGTGCCTGCGTGTATTTGTTCGCATGCTGTGCAACTTCTGCCTCCTTTTCAATGTTTGGTTCAAGGGAGAGATACATTTGCAGATCCCTCATTAATTTCTCTAATTATGCTTTATTTTTCAGAGTTATTTGTTTGTGTGCTCAGTTTGAAAGTGTGCTTCAGCATGGCTTGAAGAGAAGCAGAGGATTAGCATTAACAGCAGCAGCAATCAAACAGGCAGCAGGATTTGCAAGTAAAACAGAGACAGGTAAACTCACTGTTATTACCAGTCTGCCTAATTATGTTTTGACTGTTCCTAAGTGTGCAATTTGCATGGCTTGTTACCAAAGTATTTTATTTAGTCAGTTGGCTAATGTACCTAACCAGGATGTAATTTACTTAAAATGTAATTAGGGGTATTACCCAACACTGCACGATGGGTTCATATGTTTTATTTGTTGACTGTTATAATTCTGTTACCCTGTAGGAAGTAAATGAAGAACGGGCATATTAATTATTTTTAGGGCTATGCTGTAATTTAAAGAATAGTTTCACTTTTGCAGCCAAATTTGAGAAACCCCCACTATGTGTTAGCTATGCATTCCCATTCACACAGTATGCATAAAAATATATATTATTTATGTTTATTACCTTTCTAGTTGTTTCTTTAGAGCAGGATTATACACAGGACTGAAAAATGTCAACAATTTCAGAGGGACATACTGTTTTCCCTTATTACCATTCAATACAGAACACAAGCATTGTGATGTTTAAATTAGTATTAACCTCTCAAACTTGTTTTTAGAAATTAATTCAGATCCAACATATATACTGTACTATGCCCAGCAAAGTATTTCACTTCAAGTACACTTTTCACTTCAAGTACACTTTTGCCCGAGCACTTAGTCCTCATGTTTCTAAATGTCTGACTCTATGTCTCTCAGCTCAGCTTTCCTGAACTACCTGTTGATTACATGATCACAAGGGACAGAGCATTCTGCAGCAGATCTTCATCTACTAGCTTGAAGGGACAAAGGAGGAGCAAGGAGTAGGAGGGGGGAGTGGTTTGCCTTGCTGTGTCTGTGGAGACACACAGCTTACTAGTACTCACAAGAGTGGTTCTATAGGACCCTGCAAGGGAAAGGAGCCACCATTAAACAGGAATTTAAGGCCATTCATTATAAGTCATTTAATCAGCATTTGAAATAGCTTAAACACCTTTCCCCTTTCCGTGCACATATTTTCGAGATAGTATAAGTATTAGTTGTCATTGAAGTGTCCAGAAAAGTTTTCCTAAAGAAAGTTTGAGGATTAGTGGAAACCGTTTTCCAAGTCTTAGTGACCTGAAAGAAGTAGAAAACATGGTTGCTTGGCAGATGTTATTCGTAAATCAGATCCTGAAATTTAGATTTGAGAGAGTCCTTATGAAACAAATGTTTCCAGAGTTATATTCCTTTTTGGTGTCACAACTGAAAGGCAGCATAGTCTTGGCCTTGAGGGAACATTGGGTGGTGTAACAACAGACAATATGATGAGATAAATGGGGACATCTTTAGGACCCTACACCATTGATGCTTCTAGTGAGCAATTCAAAAATCTGGATTGGCTCCCAAAGAGCGAGGGGGGTACAAATTTCTTCAATTTACAACTATACAACATTGCGTGTTTACTGAAACAAGCCATGGATTGATTAAATCCATGGCTTGTTTCAGTAAACACGCAATGTCTTATAGCGAGGGGGGTACAAATTTCTTCAATTTACAACTATACGACATTGCGTGTGTCACGTACCGTGGTGCAGGCCCGAAGTGATAAGGAGGACCTCCCTTGCGGTTCCGTCTGTGGACCCCTGAAGTGTAACAGGGGGCACAGGCAAGAGCAGCACGGGTGCCGGTATGAAATCCTGGGTGCCGCTGAGCGGGATCAAGCACTGTGTAAAACAACGATAGTCAGAAGTAAGTTAGGTTAACAACCAAGGAGGCATTCCTAGTAGCCAGCAGGATCCAGCGCGTGGTCAGAGACAAGCCAGGGTCAGGAGCCAGAGAGGGGGAGTATAGCCAAATCAGAATCCAGAGAATGGTCAAGGACAAGCCAGGGTCAGAAGCCAGATAAGTACTAAGAGCAAGAGCAGGATCCAGAGAATAGTTAGGTACAAGCCAGGGGTCAATATAATGCAGAAACACAGCAGGGTACAGAACAGACCTGAAGCACACAGGCTGAAGAGCACTCAGCAATGACTGGGAGTGCTGAGCCTCCTTTTATAGCCCTAGTGACATCACTGGGCGGCGGCCTGATGCACAGGGGCGTGTCGCACCAGCCCGTCGTGTCACAGGTGGGCGTGCCCTGCCAGGCCTCCTCGTCATAGGTGGGTGTGCCCCGCCGGGCCTCCTCGTCACAGGTGGGCGTGCCCCGCCAGGCCTCCTCGTCACAGGTGGGCGTGCTGGTTGGTTTGACAGAGGGCCAGGTTTGGAGAAATAACAGGTCGTGAGCAGTTCTGCCGGCAATAGGGAGATCGGAAGGAAATTGTTCCAGTGCTCCAATCAATTACTGGGTTATGGACCTGGAGCCAAGGCATTCCCAGTATGACAGGGGACAAGGGTGAGGATATAATATCCAAACGGAGTAGCTCATGGTGCTCTGGCGTGATTTGAGTGGAGATTGGAATGGTCTCCTGGGTAACCGGTCCGGTTTTGAGGGTCGTACCATCTGCCAGAAAGATGAGGAGTTCCTGATGTTTGGGCCGTAGAGGGATGTTATGAAGAAGTGCAAATTGGCGGTCCATAAAGCAACTGCAGGCACCGGAATCAAGGATGGCCGCGATCTGGAGGGCCTTCTCTGGTAGCTGTAAAGAGATAGGAACAACGAGATGAGAAGGAAGGTGGCCGGTACTGACCTCAGAGACCAAGTGCGTCTGTTGCAACTTACGGTTCTTGATGGGGCAGTTACGTACGTAATGCCCGGTACCCCCAGAATAGAGGCAAAGATCCAGATGACGGCGTCATTCCCTCTCCCCCGGAGTCAACGGTGCCCTTATTAAGCCAAGCTGCATCGGTTCAGCCGGTTCCAGAACTGAAGTGGGAGGACCGGGTCGGAACACCGAGTTTCCGGCTGGCATGAAATTTGGGGCAACATCCAGGTTGGTCGGGAGTAGCCAGAGCGTTCTAGCCTTCGCTCCCTTAGACGTCGGTCAATCTGAGTGGCCAGGTGTATGAGCTCATTGAGGGAATCCGATATTCCCACACGGGCCAGTTCATCCTTAAGGGAGTCTGACAATCCCAACCTGAATTGACAACGGAGGGCCGCATCGTTCCACGTTTCTTAAGGGAGTCTGACAATCCCAACCTGAATTGACAACGGAGGGCCGCATCGTTCCACTCCGTGTCGGAGCTCCACCTTTTGAACTCCGCCACATAGTCTTCAACGGGCCGGCGGCCCTGGCGCAAGGAGGACAGAGTGGTCTCTGCCGTAGAAGCCCGATGGGGATCATCATAGAGCAGAGCCATGGCGTCAAAAAACCCAGCTGAAAATTCCAGGAGCCGATCGTTCCGTTCCAAGAGACGATGGGCCCAGGCCTGGGGTTCATTAGCCAATAGAGAGATTATAAATCCCACCTTGGTCTGCTCGGCTACAAAGGTGCGTGGCTGCAGCATGAAGTATAATTGGCAAGCATGCCGAAACGCACGGAACTTGCTGCGGTCACCCGTGAATTTCTCGGGTGCTGGTACCCGGGGTTCAGGTGTAGGTCCGACAGCCGCTTCCACAGGTGGTGCAGGGTCCACCTGAGGCGGCAGAGGAGGCGGAGCTGAGACCACCGAGGCGGTCTGTGTCAGGGCTTCCACTCTTGCCTCTAATTGGAAATACCCCTCCTGGAGGCCCTTCACCGCCTGACCGAGGGAGGTTAACTCTTGGCAAATCTCCTCCATGGAGGTCTCCTTTCGGGCCCACGGTTTGGCTGAGTGCTTCTGTCACGTACCGTGGTGCAGGCCCGAAGTGATAAGGAGGACCTCCCTTGCGGTTCCGTCTGTGGACCCCTGAAGTGTAACAGGGGGCACAGGCAAGAGCAGCACGGGTGCCGGTATGAAATCCTGGGTGCCGCTGAGCGGGATCAAGCACTGTGGAAAACAAGGATAGTCAGAAGTAAGTTAGGTTAACAACCAAGGAGACAATCCTAGTAGCCAGCAGGATCCAGCGCGTGGTCAGAGACAAGCCAGGGTCAGGAGCCAGATGACCCTACACCATTGATGCTTCTAGTGAGCAATTCAAAAATCTGGATTGGCTCCCAAAGAGCGAGGGGGGTACAAATTTCTTCAATTTACAACTATACAACATTGAGTGTTTACTGAAACAAGCCATGGATTGATTAAATCCATGGCTTGTTTCAGTAAACACGCAATGTCGTATAGTTGTAAATTGAAGAAATTTGTACCCCCCTCTCTCTTTGGGGGTCAAAGTTTCTTGAGTGAAATCCTTGGGCGTTTCATATGCCACATGAATTGAACCATAGCCCTATTTAAACGATTGATGTTCGAATGTTTTAACAGAAGGGGAATATTTTGCATTGGATTCTGAAGTGTAACAGGGGGCACAGGCAAGAGCAGCACGGGTGCCGGTATGAAATCCTGGGTGCCGCTGAGCGGGATCAAGCACTGTGTAAAACAACGATAGTCAGAAGTAAGTTAGGTTAACAACCAAGGAGGCATTTGGTGTCACCCGGGTGCGGGCCGCACCCCCCTTGTGACGCCACTGGTTCCAAGGCAATATTAAATAATAAGGTAGACAAGGGTCCTTGTCTAGTCCTTTTTTGTAGCTAAACAGGTGAGGCACCCTGAGTTTCAGAAAGGAAAGGACCTTACCCTAAGAGCCCCTATATATTAGTACTTGAAACAGCCATTGTAGATTTACTTTATCAAAAGCTTTTTAAAGCATCTAATTTAATAATAGCGTGCTCCTGCGTGGGCAATCTCCAACGCAGTAAAAACTCTACGTATATTTGACACAGTCAATTGTCCTTTAACAAAGCCCATCTGTGCTGGTTGGATGATAAGGGCAAATTATTGGCTAATCTTTGAGATATGATCTTAGATACATTTTTTGCATCTATATTCAAGAGCAAAATAGGTCTATACGAACCAGGCAAAGTAGGGTCCTTTCCAGGCTTAGGCAATCATTTAATATAAGCCTCCCTCCATGTAGCTAGGTAAGATCCCCCTTCCCATACACACTTGTATAAAGTGGACAGAGTCTGTAAAATATCAACTTTCAAAATCT